TATATATATATATATATATATATATATATATACACATATATATATATGTATATATATATATATATATATATGAATTTGCATTTCTTTACTAAGTAGTGAAGTTAAATGTATTAATATATTTCGTACATCTGGCCATTGTAAGTTACCTTTTTTTATTGAACAGTACCTCCTTTGTTGTTTTATTTTTAGTGGTATAAGAAAATAAATACTTTGCATGTCATAAGAAACACGTATTTTCCCCAGTTGGGTATCAATGCTTTTAATCAGGGAGAAACATTTATGTTTTTATTTAAAAATTTAGAGTGTGAAGAGTTCTGGGTTGCTGAGAAGAGGAAAGGGGGCAGTTCAATATTTTCTGAATGTCTCTGAATACCTACATAAAAACAGGGCAGTCAGATAGCCAAAGCAAAAATCCATGGAAACCATTTCACAAAACTAAGTGACAGGGACTTCCCTGGTGGCGCAGTGGTTAAGAATCCGCCTGCCAATGCAGGGGACATGGGTTCAAGCCCTGGTCCGGGAAGATCCCACATGCCGCAGAGCAACTAAGCCCATGCGCCACAACTACTGAGCCTGTGAGCCACAACTACTGAGCCTGCATGCCACAACTACTGAAACCCGTGCGCCTAGACCCCACGCTCCGCAACAAGAAAAGCCACTGCAATGAGAAGCCCGCGCACCACAATGAAGAGTAGTCCCTGCTCGCTTCAACTAGAGGAAGCCCGCGCGCAGCAACGAAGACCCAACCCAGCCAAAAAAAAAAACCTAAGTGACAAGTTATCCCCACAAAGACCAAAACCCGTCTAAGTACCAACCATGACAAACATAAGACTGCACAGTACCTGGGTCCATACACGGAAGAGGAAGCATCAGGGCAGTGTCTGAGGGACTTGGGACAGGAAAGCCTGAAATATCCAAAAGAGACTGTGTGAGTCTCCTAGGGCTGCCTTATCGAAGTACCACCCACTGTGGGGCTTAAACACCAGACATCTATTTTTTCACAATTCTGGACACCAGATGTCTAAGCTGGCAGGGTTGGCTTCTTCTGAGGTCTCTCTCCTGGGCTTGTAGATGGCCATCTTTCTCCCTGTGTCCTCATGTGTTTTTCCCTCTGTGTGTGTCTGTGTCCTAATCTCCTCTTCTTATAAAGACACCAGTCAGATTGGATTGGGGCCCCACCCACATGACCTCATTTTACCTTAATGACTTCTTTAAAGGCTCTATCTCCAAATGCAGTTACATGATGAGTACTGGGGGTTAGGACTTCAACATATGAATTTTGTGGGGACACAATTCAGCCCATAACAGAAACTCCTTGGAAAGCAGGCTGGCCAATCTGAGAGCAGCCGATGAAACTGAGAGGGGCAGGTAATACCCACTACAGCAGCAGGTGAGTTCAAGGGGCCTGAGGTCAGAAGGAGCTGGAGTGGTCAGGTTGTTGTGACCCCTCAGAACCGACCTGCCAGGGCACCCTTCCAGGACAGGGCCCTGTACTGAGAAGAAACGACTAGAATTTGGATCAAAAGTGAGCAGAAAAAAGGGCAAGAGAGAAAAAGGAAAGAGAAGGTAAATAAAAGAGAGGAAGTGGAGGAGAGAGGAGACATTTCATGCCACCATGTTTTTCAACAATTTAATTAATTGTTACACAGAAACAGGAGAAAATGGAGTACTGTAAAGTTAGAAAACCTACTTGGAACCACAAGTCTTTCAAACTTTTAGATGAACTAAGTTCATCTAATGATGAACAAGAGAAAATATTTACATCAAATTCCACAAAAATGTATTCAGCTTTATTGATATGTACTTTACATACAATGAAATTCACATATTTTAAGCACACAGTCTAACCGTGTACATCTTACTGGTTCTATTTCTCTAGAGAACCCTGACTAATACAGATTTGGGTACCAAGAGTGGTTCTAGAGAAACAGAATTTTAAGGATGAGTTTCCTGAATTGTTTCTGGAGTTTCAGGAATTGGAGATCTAATCTGATTAGGTTTAAAGGCACTAACGGCTTGATTTCAAGTACTAAACAAAGCACTGGTATGTTTACAGTTCGTGGCATGATCTGACAATCAACATACATAAAATATCTCCACTGGATGCTCCCTATCAACCACTTATAAAAGGCAAGGAACTGGGTGACTGTGTATATGACACCTTCAAACATTTCTGGAAAACTAATAAATGCAATGAGATTGGCTGGTTATACCTCATGTCACTGGACACAGTGGTGAACAAAAAAAGGATGAGCTCAGGGATTGGAATCCCAGCTCAAGTGCCACATACACGACCTAAAAGCTTCCACGTGTGCCCTAAAGGGGACCCTTATCTCATTCAGCTGTGAGGCTAAGATGGCTGGAAATCAGACACACAGTCTCGACATGCAACTGGACGCATTACAAAGCAGGCTGAACTTCCAGCCTCCCACGGTATCTGCGGTGAAGGTGAGGGCGTTGACCGAGAAAACATGGAGTCCTGTAAGTTGAGATGGGGACGTACTGGAAGAGCCTGATGAGGCTGGGGGTGCTAAGCCCCGAGACGCTGATGAGCCTTTCTGCTTTGCTGGCAGAAGCAGCCTCCTCACCCCCAGTGGAAGCAGCCGCTCCACCTCTGCTGAGCGGGTTCACCCGTATTACCTGACGAAGCCGTAATGACCTCCCCTACAACAGCCGCCACTCAAGACAATCCCGGTCCTCCCCAGGACCCGCTCCCCCCACCCCACCCTCTTTGCTTCTAGATCCATAAGCAGACGCGAGTCCCAGCGAGCCCCTAAAGGTGAGCTCCAGAGCACAGCCCATCAGGAAGTGCGCCGCGCTCCAAGAGAACCGCTTGAGTTTGCTCATTTATACAGAAGAAATCTGGAGAACACGTGTGGGAAGGACAATGGTGAAAGGAACATCAAGTTGGATCAGACTGAATCCATTGATACGGGCTCACTGGGCAGAGATTCTACATTTACGGCTGTAACTCCGGGAGCTACAAAAGGCTCTGTTTGACTAGTTGGCTGAAACATGGACCAAAGCTGGCCCACAGTGACCTAATTGGAAATGCAGGCCGTGCCTTGGCTCAGTGTCGAGGAGGGCCCTCCCTCTCCTTAGGGAGACTGGAATGGAGAGTGGACCTGTCATTGAAGACCTACTCACCCACACTGAGAAGGTCCAGAAAACATTTTTTTTTTTTTACCAACTTTAGGAAATACATTTGTGGAGGGAGCCCCAGCATCATCAAGAGCTGGGTGATCGCTCTTCTCTGTAGGCCAAACCTTAGAGTCATTGCAGTCACTGAACCGGCCTCACTAAAGCCATGGGTGTGCCCTGCCCTAGCATTCTTCCTCTGCCCCAGTAAAGCTGTAGGCATACCTGCCCCCGCACCCAGCAATATTCTCCTGCCTCTCTAAAGCTACCGACGTGCTCCTTACCCCAGTACCCTCTCCCAGCCTCACTACAGCAGCAGGCATGTCCCATCCCCAGGGCTCCTCGCCTGCATCACTGAGTCCACAGGTACGCCCTGCCCTCAGCAATCTCCTGCGACCGCAATAAAGCCAGCGGGCAAGTGCAGGACACATGGGGAATCTAGAGTTAGTCTTATCCTAAAGGTTAGTTTTTATTCTCAAGGCATAGGCTTGGTGGCATTTCAGCTAGATGTCAAGGTATTGATGAATTGTTAAGAAGATCTCTCTGCTCCGTTAGCGCCATAAATCGCATACCCCTCTGGCACTGCTCTTCCCCCAGCGCGGCTTGACCTCTAGTATCTATTCTATCTTAGCCCCCAAAGCAGCTGCTATTTGTTAAGCCCTGAACAGACTCACCGTCCTATGTGCTGTATATTCCTCAGCAGGACTCACAGGAGATCCTGCGGCACAGTCCTCCAGGGCTGAGTCTCTATAGAGCTCCACCCCCTCTCTTACTCTGTGCCCAGATCCCATCCATTCAGCTGCTCTGAATTCTGCTGTCTTCTTCCTGAGCTCAGCAAAACTACCAGACTCTGTTCAGAGTCCAGTTCTCTGTGCTCTAGTCAGGAAAGCATCTGAAGGAAAAGAAGCTAGGCAATTAGAGGGCTCATCCTGTGGGTCTCCCTTTTCTCCACAACTGCCTCAGTTATTTTTAGCAATTTTATAGTTGTTTACTTGTAGGAGGACTGGTCCAGTTCTAGTTACAAAATTCTGTCTGGAAGCAGAAACCATCCCATAAAAATTTATCATAAGATGAAAGATAGCCAGGAGCCTACTAATACCGTTACATCAACAATGAGAGCTCGCCAAAAGACATGCCTCAAAACATATCAAAACGGTAATGGCTCATTTAAAAACAAGATAAAAGGCATTAAGTATATCATGCAAGATAAATCAGAATTAGGAATATTCAGAAACGAGGTGCCAAAACTCTGACAAGATTTATAAACCAAAAAATAAAAACTTAAAATAGAACACAGAGAGAATACACAAACAAAAAGAGTGCCCTAAGGGAAACAGAAGGTGAAAAGAAGGGAAATTTTAATAATTGAAAACTTAATGAAAGAACAGAAATAGTAAATATTTGTAAATATAACAGGCTATTTTTCTTCTCTTGAGTTCTTTAAGATATATTTGACAGCTAGTAGTAAAAATTATAACACTGTCAGGTGGAGTTTTCCATAAATGATATAATACATAAGGTGAGGAGACCAAAGGGACCTGCATGGTGGTAAAATTTCTACATGACACTTGAAGTGGTAAAATACTGATTCTAAATAAGCTGTGAAATGTATCTTTTAATCTCTAGAGCAACTGGAAAAAAGGTAGATAGATAGATAATAGATACAGAGATGACAGAGAGATGAGAGATAGATATACACACACAAAAACACAAGAGGTTTTTAAAAAAAAAAATCCTGTAGACACAAATTTGAATTGTAAATTTTAATACAAACTTATGAGGTTTTTTATGTTACATGTAATATATACATTTTTTCCCCTACTTTTGTCTACTGAAGAGATCCATGACCAGTCCAGTAAAGAGAGCATCCTTAGTGCCCAGATATGGGACTTGAATTATCATTTCCTACCAAAATAAATGTTCTGTTTTGTTTGTAGAAATGGATAATTCTACATCTATACTGATTCCCTTTTACTCAGGGTTAATTTGAGAGGTATTTGTGGGGTTTTTCCAAGTGGTTTGAAGTTTAAAAACAAACTTATACATATTTAAAAATGCAACAGGGCTTCCCTGGTGGCACAGTGGTTGAGAGTCCGCCTGCCAATGCACGGGACACGGGTTTGTGCCCTGGTCCGGGGGGATCCCACATGCCACGGAGTGGCTGGGCCCGTGAGCCATGGCCGCTGGGCCTGCGCGTCCGGAGCCTGTGCTCCGCAACGGGAGAGGCCACAACAGTGAGAGGCCCGCGTACTGCAAAAAAAAAAAAAAAAAAATGCAACAAATATGACTTTTGAATTATATTAGACTGTCAGAAAATATGGCCTACACAAATTTCCTTCTTTGCAAATTAATAGATTCATATAGACTCAAATTTCATAACTGCTTCATTAAAAGCTAAAAAGGAACAAGCTGAGTATGGTATAAAGTTCCCTGCAATTAGAAGCTTGGTAATGGGATTTTTAAAAACTTCCAGAATGGCATCCATGTGGGGAAATAATCTGTTTATGAGATTCAAGTGGGTCATACCCCACACACATAAGTCCCCTGTACTCTCCTTTCTACCCCCTGCCCAGGGGTGACACAGGCCTAAAGTGAGCCTATCAATCGTGGAACTCTTGCTGGGGGTGCTGGGAGGTACATTCTCTTTCCACGAGGATTACCAAACTGCCAACGTGTCAGCCACAGCTGCCTGTGGTCAACTTCGTGGCCATACTGTGAGGGAATGCAGTCAACACAGAGCAGGGCAGGGAGGTGGTGTTCTACAGAAGTAGCTGGAGCCCTGGTTCCAGCCGTGCCTGAAGCTTGCTGCACTTCTACAGATCCGTTTCCCTGACCCAATCAATTCCCTTCTCTGCTTAAACAAGCTCGATCTGGATTTTCTCTTCAGCCCAGAAAATCGCGATCGATAGAGAAATGAATTTAGCCTCTCCTCCAAAATGAATAAATTTGTATGCTGATTTGCATGCTGAAGACACAGGTGGTGTACACAGAAGACTAAAGCTCGCCACCGGAGTGTTTCTCTCTTAGCCTGGTGAGGTGGTGCTGCCTAAGGGAGAACTCTTGCTGATTTCGGGTATTGTTAGAACATACATTTTTGACATGGCACATATTTGCAACATGAACCCAATTCACAGCAAAATCAATGGCGCCGGAACTATCATTGTCCCGATACCGCTGGACCTCAGAAATTCCACAGGGGCCCCAGTGCTTTCAGAGTGAAAACATCAATCATCCATGCAGTAACGCAGGATTAATTCCCACGTTCAAAAGCATTTGGTCCTGACAAACCGTGCGCCTTCCGAGGACGACTTCTCATTTGAAGCTCATCCTCCAGCAAGGCTTATTGAGATCAATAAATGTCCCAAAGCACTGAGGACTCACTTGTCTCTTTTATGTTTTCCTTTGCATAATGACAAAAACAAATCTAGGGGCATTTGGAGCAGTTGTCTCTACAAAGAAGCAATCTTTGGGGACCCTGTCAGCCAATGCCTTAAAGAGGTAAGATTTAAATGTCCAAAAGAGGAGATAATTTTCATTTTGAGGATAAGACACTAAAAAAGAAACCAGAGAAAGAAAACTCCATTGATTTAAAAACCCTTAAAAGAAAATTTGGGGAAGAAAGAAAATCTCAGATTATGGAATGGAAGCCCTATAACTTCTAGCAAGGGGGCATGAATATATATCATTTTTCTCAAAATAATGCCCTTAAGAATTTTTATTAATATTCAGAATACAAAACCAGTCAAGCTATTTTTTCAAATGACTTCTTCTTTAACTAAGTTGACCGTTTAAGTCAACCAGGTACATACTTATTGTGTGTGTGTTTGCGCGCACGGACATGCACATGGGCACACGCTTCCACATGTTCGTAGAACAACACTCTGAAGATAGTTTGCAAAACCTTAAAAGTTTTGTGAAATCCATTTGAAACATCAAGTAAATCTTTCTTTAATTTTGGAGTCATTTAGGGACATATTTCACTTCATCCACATCAGACTTTTGATTTAAAAACTACAGATGGAGAATTTTTCTACCAAAAGAAATAAAATGGATTTTAAAAAATTTTTTGCTTCTTTACTCATGGTAGTTCACCAGGACCAGGAATAAAAATATGTGCTCCTAGAAGTAAGTCTATGTGCAAGGTATTAGAAAAACATTTCCTCTTAACCTTCAGCCTCTATGCTGTCAAGTTAACCCTCTATAACAAGGTTAGAAAGGGGAAAAATTAATGGAAGTCCACAAAAATAACCTACAGCTGCAGGAAAGACTGGGTGTTTGCATAAGTTAAACCGAGTAAACCAGAATTAGATGTGTAGACACACAAATTCCTGTTCAGTTCTGCTAAAATTCTAGAGTCTGTCTATGATGATATGCAGTTAAAGTCTTTACGCAGTCTAGATATTAAGCCAATGGTGAGAAGAGGGGAAAAAAGTAGTTGATTCAGACGAACTTCAGTGTTGGGAATGAACTAGTAACTGTATTTAGTCTTTTGAGGATTTACTTTTTTCAAGGACGACTTAGACTCTGAGCTCAAGCCTTTCAATTCTTCAAGGACTATCTTTCTCGCTCAAACTCCACTATTCCATGCCCTTCGTTATACAGAAAGAAGTGTCTGAACTCTTATGTAAGCTACCTTTGATAAGAAAGGACTAGAGAGCTATCACGACTTTCCCTAAATTCAGATAGAACTGGGACTAAAGGAGAGAGTATTTTTTTTGTTTGGTTCGTTGGGGTTTTTTTGCAAGGTGGTGGTGTTGTTGCTTAGGTGTCTGAGTTTTTGGGAATTCCAGACCTCTGCCTGACCCATGACTGGCAGCGAGCCTCAGAAATTTGCTCATTACGCACCATGAATAGCAGCGTCCCCTGGTTATTGCAATCAGTGTGTCCATCAGTTGGAGAACCAAGCAGATATAATGGCTGATGAATTACATTTTATGATGCAAATGGCCCTGGGAGGAATTGTGTTCCGTGTATCCCAGATCCTTTCTCCTTTTAAAAACCTCGTTTTCAATGTCTTGCATGTAACGTTTAAAAAGTTATTTTTATTGTTTTTGTTTCCTTAGAGAAAAGCCTTATTGTCGGAGTAAAGAAGCTTGCAGGACCAAATCACAAAAGAAATTTAGTGCGAAGAAGTAACAAAAGAAAATGAAGGATTTTTTTTTTTTTTTTTTTACGTTTACCATTGGTTTGGAGGAGAAAAAAAATACAAAAGATTTCATGAAGACTACGTGATCCAAAGAGTCTTCAAAGAGGAAAAAAAGATTCTTTGAATACAGCCCTAGTAACTAAATTAATATTTTAAAAGCATTTAATGTCTATAACCTCCAGCTATTATAAGAAACAACGTACTGTGAGCCTGTCAGGTGTGAAGGAAAACTGATGAAGTGACAATATGGGAAAGATAGAGCAGACTGACTTTCCTTTTCAGGTAAAATAACACGAAGAAAAGACTGTTTTCCATTTTGTCGAATTTTCTCAATGTTATTGATTCTTTGATAAAAAATCTAGTTTGGTTTTTTTTTTTTCATGACACAAAATGCATGATGGCTGTGTTGTCTTACTCAGGGTCATCTCTATACATCCTCCCAGAAACCGTATACCTCTCACTGCACAATTTAGGGTGAACGCCCTGATGAGCAACAAGCATCATACATTGTTCCCAA